TGAATGGATGGATGGAGGGATGGATGGATGGCTGGATGGATGGATGGATGGATTTATGGATGGATGGATGGATGGATGGATGGATATATAAATAGATAGATAGATAGATAGATAGACGATCTCATTTTTGAATGATAATTCATTATATTTTTCTTATCCTACTAACAGGTTAAATTGCTGCGGAACATGTGGATGTAAGAAACGTAGTTATAGGTACGTTTTAAAATATTTCCCAATAGATATTTATTTTGATATTACAGCAGTTTAGATCGATTGATATTGTGACACTTTATATATAAACAGTGGTTTATATTTATTTACTTGTTATAAAACAAATGTGCATCAATTTACTGCACAAATAACAATATATATATATATATATATATATATAATATTATATATATGTATTTTTAATATATATATATAAATGTAACAGACGATTTATATTTGTATAGGCCAACAGAAATGGAAGAAAGGGTAAGAGTATTCTTTACATATAGTAATCTTATCTATAAAAATATTTTAAAGATAATATGTAATCACGCTACATGTTAGAAAATATGTTTTATATATATAAATATATACATAAATATATATATATATATATATATATATATATATGTTCTTCTTCTTCTATATCTTAAGGGCCCACGATCAATTTATTAATCATTTTGGCTCCTATGCATGTAGATGGGATTTGCCATGTTTCTGATATGTGTGTGTGTGTGTATGTATCCGTGTGAAAACAAGTGTGTGACTTATTCACAATTGGCATTTAGTCTTTAGTATAAAAAAAATGCACCACTATATATGTTGGTTTATGTTATGAACATAGCAATGTCTGAAGATACACATTGTTACAACAGTTTTCAACATTAAATTTAAATTATACCCATATTGCATCTTTTATCACAATGTTCGTACATTCCACACACTCTAACCTTTTTTCAAAATTTTATTACTTACATGAAGTATATGACTTACAGTGAAAAAAAAAATGAAATACACTGAACACTAACAAACACAAATCTTGAAAATTATCAATATTTTAATTATGATTTTTGATTATTTGTTCATAATTATTTTGCTTTTAAAAAAAGGATTTTTATATTTTTAACTAAGATTCATATGTTTATCTCTTTGTATTTTTGGCACAAAAATTAGATATTTTAGTTTAGTTTTAATGAATCCTTCATTTTAGAGTATCGGTAAATGTACTTTTGTATTTTAGATTTTTTTTAAATTTTATATAAATTGTTTTATTTTTATTAATCAGAATATTTTAAACGACATTTATACGTTTCGCACTTACATACTTTAATTATTTTCCTTCTATGTCATAAAATCAAATTTTAATGTAATATTTTTTTTAATATCTAAATACTGCCTAGCCAATTTCATAAAGGTAATAGTCTTTATTCTAAAGTAAACTATGTGATTAAAGAAAGCATAAGTATATTGTCGATTTCTTCGTTAATCGTTGGATCTAGATCAAACTTAGCAAAGACACCTTTCATAAACCCTTTCAAAAGAGGAACACCATGAAGCATCAGCATATTCCATCCCATTTTTTTGAGATAAATGTTAAAATTAAACTTAAATATGTATTTGATTCTTTCTTAATATAGCAACTATTTTAGGCCTTACTAAAATGGCCACTTATGAACATTATTTTTTAACAAAAACATATACCTGATACGACAGAGATAAACTTAACATGTAACGCGTATTTCATTTGCACACAGCTTGTAATTTCTTATGACAGCAACAGACTGCGTGTACACGTTTGGATAAGTGTCCTTAGATGACTTAAATTCCTGTACCAGAACGATTACTTAAAACATAATAATTAGAGAAAAAAAAACAGTGAAATCTGTAATATTTATTTTATCTTTAATATCTAAGTGCTGTTTTTATAAATTATACATACATTAATATAAAAATTAAATACTTATTTTCAGTACGTATCTGAATAAAAGATTTAAAACATTTGCATACAATTTTGACAGAAAAAATTAGAAAAGTTAATATTCTTGTTTTTCTAAGTCCCGAATAAAAGGGAATTTATTTTTAAAATTATAATAGTTTTTTAGTATTAACAAAAATCGGAGATTATATTTGTATAAAGCAAATTCACTTATAACTATACTCTAAATTAAAGATTAAAATTACTCTCCTGCCTCCTACAAATATTTTAGGATTTAACTTTAAGTTAAGATGATCTTGCTATAATTATCATTTAATGATTAACTTGAAATAAATTTTGATTGCTCAAATGACTAGCAAATTAACAGCCATAAATATTATTTCTTTGTTTTAACAACGCAACGTAACTTGTGCAAGCTTTTTTTAAAATAAATAACATTTTCTGATTTGTAAAATGCTCACAATGTTTTAAGACATCGCACTAAATTTAATCTGTAAATGTTGAAAATGTATTAATTTGTACAATTTTTATTAAAAAAATAAGCAGTTTATTAAATTTGTAAAGAAAACAAATATTTAAAATTTGAAAGTGCTGATAAAGAATATACTTTTCAATAGTTTAAATAAATAAATATATTTTAAACAGGCTGAAAGTTAGCGAAGGGAGATAGATGTTAATAATATAATCTCAAAACACGATCATGTTATAGATAGTACTTTGGGATTAATTTAATCTAAAAATAGATAGCTATATTATTTAAATGCATGGAAATAAGTGGTGAATATAGATGTGAGATGGGCAAAGGATTTTGCCAAGTATTGGGTGCTTTTTTTCATGTTTATAATAACGTAATAATTTATTTTGGTGTTGGGGGAGTGAGTTACGATTTTTCAACAATTTAGATAAAGTGCGCCACACAATGTGTGGGTGCATTTTAAGAGTATATCAATGTCTTAAATATGTTACGCACTGAAAATCGGTATAAGATAGCAGTGTTGTCAAAATGCATTGGTTTACTAAAAACTGGCCCTGCGCCTTGCGCTTCAAGGGACCCTGGCGCTTCTGGGAGATTTACACTTTTAGAGGAATCGTGCTTCACCTATTGTTAATGAATATTGAAAGATTTGGGCAATTTACATTTATTTATAAATTTAGTGGTCAGCAGGTTTTCCAATTTTAACTAACGATATAATCGATCATTGAAAATTAATATTTTAAATGTAAATCACAAGTTGGATACTTCTTTAAAGGAAATAACCCTCTCCAACAAGTTTACTTTTAACTTCTATGAATGGAAATATAAAAATTTTTAGAATTATGATTGCTACTGCCTACCTGCGTTGGTCCAGTCACGGCCTTCTCAATACTTGACATGTTATGATCTTCATCCTTAGACTTTAAAAAAATCCCGAAGTAGTTTACGCTTACTGCACAGTCAGTAGATTCCACGTGATGTAGGGACAACAACACTATTATAATATATATAAATTATTATATATATATATATATATATATA